GGACAGGGTTTTGTCCATCTTATTCTTTGCTGTATCCCCAGCATCAAGAACATGTTTGACCAATGGTAGGCATTTAATAAGTGAAGAATTCTTCGGAACATGGCTTTTGTAATAGCTTTAAACATAGCAGTCAGGTGCTATCGAAGCCTGACTGCTGACTCCGGGCCAATATGAGTTGAATTTCCTAACCCTTAGAGTGACAAGGGCCTATATGCAATGCAGTGATGTCTGTCCAGCAAAAGAAAATAATCAGTCCTAGGAAGAACTGAGAGAAAAGGGAAACAGGTCCCGGCCTCCTCCACACATACTCTTAAGATGCACTTTATATATACTAAATGAAGGTAAATCTGGGGCGCTAAAAAGAATCTTTTCTTCCCTTTCACTTGAATCAAAATTCATACATTCACTCCTTCGGCATACTTGTCTACTCTTGTGATTTTCCTTTCTCTCTGACTTCTCCATCTACCTACATCTGACTGCTCTGTCCCATATCTAATCTTTGTTTTTAATGCTTTTCTGATTAGCTTTCCCACCATACTGCAAAAACTCTATAGATATAACTAAAAACCCCACCTTCTACCTCCACCACACAGTGTTTTCAGTGTTCCATTTCCCCACTTTTCCTTCTTAATACATAGTACTGACAAGCCACTTCTCATAAAACCTGAGGCCTAGAATTCATCTCAATGTTTATATTTCCAACAACAATAATAGCAGCCAACTTTTACTGAGCACTTTACTCATCACAAAACCCAAGCTATATGGATAATTCCTGTCCCATTTTTCAGTTAAAGAAACTAAGGCTTATCACTTTGCCACAATCATACAGCATGGAAACAACAGTGCTGGGACCTAGAGAGTGTTTTTAAATACTATGCCATATTGCCTCTCACATAATTATTTGCAAAGTCATCTAATTTTCTAAAACAGAACCCAAAACTATTTTTTCGTTTTTCTTCCAAGCATAAAACTCCAGTTCAGGATCTGATTATAATAAGCTTCGTTAATAATGTCATGTATAAAAAAACACACCTGCTTTTCTTCTGAACTAGTTTTAGAAGACCTATATTCTAGTCTGGCTTCATCCATGACTATGTGACCTTACACATGTTATTCAAACTCCCTGTGCCTCAGTTTCTCATCTTTAAAATTAAGATAATAAAATCTGCTTTAGCATGATTGTTTTCAGAACTAAAAAAAAAAAAAAAAATCCCTATTTGGGGAAGTTGAAAATAATATACAAATGTAAAAGTAGGCCAGTAATTCAGCATCCTTTCTAGCCTCTCAGGCTTATTTTTCTTACAATGAGCTGCTAACATGATCCTTTCTTGCCGTTAAACTATGTGACTGTTCTGTACTGGCAACTATCCACATAAAATGCAAACTTTTGACTCTTCAGAAATCTTCATCAACTTATTATAGAGCTTCTTTTCTAGACAAACTTGTATTTTCTCTGCTCTTTTATGCCACAAACCAATTGCCCACCTACCCCATAATGTTGTTGTCTTCTAAATTCCTCCACTTAATCTCCATTTGCTCCAAAGCCCTTCAACAGTTCCCTGCAAGTAACAACTCATATGCTACATCAAAGTGACTTCAGATTGCTTTTCTAGGACAACTTCCAACCCCCTCCCCACAAAACCGGGTTTTTCCCTATATCTTAATCTTCCCTAAATTTCTATCCCCCATTCCTGGGTAGAGCTCCTCTCAGTCATCCAGGAACAATAGATCTCTGACATTCCTGGCACCCTTTATTCTCAGTGCCCACAGAATCCTAATTTATGTATCTATTCAAGTTTGGGAAGACTGACAAACCTTTTACTCTCATTTTGTAAAATAACTCCACTCTGATGGGCAAAGAAATGTTTCTACTTTTAAGCAGGCAGGCTAATTGCCATGCTTTCCATGCCCCACTCCCCCTCCCCCCAACACTGTCCCTGCCCTTTAGTTAGGCTCCATTCTTGATGGTGACTCCTATATTCTTCCTATCTCCCTGCTCCCTGTCTGCTCAAATCTGACATCCTGAGAACTGGGCATGCTCAGTGGCCAAAGTCAATTCTGGGATGCAAATTGAAATCTTTTGCAGATTTTGAGCTGGCAGGAGAGGTAAGGCCCTAAAAATACAGTGGCCCAGAATTTGCTTACTCCCCATGAGGTATTATTTCATTTAAAGGTGTGTTCAAAGCCTAGGAATAGACTCAGGAATGGACAGCTTGCTGCCAGTCCCTAGTCTGCTACGTGGGTCACTGACCTGAGTAGCAGAGGGCTGAGAACAGCTCCTCCACCTGGTGTGGTGCAGGGAGGAGATCTCTGCTATTCTGAGCTGTGATAGTGCTGAGAGATGGCTGGAAGCTTTCGTTTGGCATCTCTGTTGTGTCAAGAAAATACTGTTGGGGGGTTTTTTTCTTTCTTTTTTCCCCCTTGAACACAGTAACATCCAGAATGAGAAGGGAGATGTTGCCTGAGGATCTACAAAGACTGTAAGCCAGCCAGAGGGATTGTGGAGAGGACAGACAAATCAACTACTTACCCGAGAATTAGATCCAGGGGGGAGGCTTAAAGACCCAGAGATAAACAGGCTATTTTCAAATGGCAATTCCGGAACCTCTGAGATATTCAAATCTGAATTGTGTGCCTATTCCCCAAAAATGCATACCTTCTTTGTACGTGAGCAGTGACACATTTCCCTTTGAGAGAGACTGACAGAAAACACACACACACACACACACACACACACACACACACACACACGAAACGCGATCCTTCTGTTCTTTCCCCTGGTTTCTGCAGAGATTAAATCTCTAGAGCGGCAACAGCAGCAGATTCCCTTACCTCCCTGTGAGGGGGATGAGGCATGAGGAGGAAATCTATCACGGATAAATGTGATTAAAAAGGGGGCTTCTTCGCAGGGGCTTGAAACATCACTGCACAGCCTGAGACACAGAGATAGGAAGTAACAGGCAGAGAAAGACACACAGCTGCCCCTTCTGCTAAAACCCAGCCATCTCTTCAAACAGCAGCACACACAAGACATTTCATCACCATAGTGCATCCATATTGAGGGGGGGGGGAATCATGTGCTTTGCGTTATGCATTTCAGTCACCCGAGATGGGAGGAGACCCCTGTCCGTATGTCGTGGGAGCTATCCACCACCCCAAAAGTACACTCGCCGCACCTAGCTAGCAGACCACTTGCCTGACAGGTTTTGCAACAAACGTGGATAAATCTACATGACAGCAGGTTGTCTCTTACCGTAGGCAGCAGCGGCTCCATTTGGGCTCCCTGGTCCTTCATCTCCATGTTTTGTAATGCCTCTGGAATAAGCACCTTCTCTGCGGTGGCTTCAGTGTCTTACACTCAGCCCGGCACTGCTCTGCTTAGTATTCGGATCAGGTAGCTCTGAAGCAGGAGGCAATTGCACACTCCAACTCACCAGAGTCACATGGCTCCTACTCACTCGGGCTGCTGGCCAGATTTTGCACGGAATGCCTTGGATCCCCGGGCCGGTAAGAGAGATCTCCCAAGCCCTGTATCACTGCCCACACCTGGCTACTGGTATAATATACAGCCTGCAGGGCTGCAAGTCTAATGAATCTCACCTAAGATGCTAACTTCTTATACAGACTAGTCTAAGGTGGACTCCAACCAGCTCAGCCAGATTTCGACACTTTGAGGCAATTCACTTCATTCCCCTAAGAGAAACAATTCAAACAAGATGACATTAATAAGGTTTTACTCTGAGTACCTGGGGTCTTTAAAAACAGGTAAGATGACATCAAAATTGATATGTCTTAGTGAGCCTGAACTATGCACTAACAAAGAATTCAGGTATTTAAATCAGTTCTGACTCAATAAGAATTAGGGAGACAGACTTTCAACATTTTAATTGTGAAAAATAGGTAAGTTACACACTATTACAAATAAAATATATTTTTCTGTAATTTCTGACAAAAATAATAAGGAAATAAAGTATTTTTATAGTAGCAATGATGAAGATAATAAATCACTTTGAAAAGATCATGAATCTGACAAGAGTAACCCAACCATATACCCTTTTTTGCACTGAAAGTCTCAACAATAGAGGGGTACGGGGTGCTCTAATCCATGGAAGAAAAGGAGTCAGAGAAGCTCTTTTGTAGGGAAAAGTAATTGATAATTGTTGCTGAGTGACTACACATATTTCCTAAATTGATTATGGATCTAGAGGATTTTAAGTAATGAAGCCCACATATCACTGGACCCCAGACTAAGAGCATGGAGGTTACAAATGAAAAGGCATTAAGAGAGGATGACTGAAAATTAAAATAGTTTATCTCAAATATTAAAATTTTTACCAGATTTTGAAATTTTTATCCGCAGAAGTAAATATTAAATTATTTTCAGCAACACACCAAAATTTTCCACAATGCTCATCACAATGGAATTATAGATAACTTTTATGTTTTCCTTCTCAATACAATTCTTTATTTTCCTTTTTGTTAAATTCATTGGGGTGACACTGGTTAACAAAATTACACAAGTTTCAGTTGCACAATTCCGCAACACATCATCTGTATACTGTATTGTGTGTTCACCACCCCAAGTCAATTGATAGAGTTCTTTATAATAAACTTCAGCTGTTTTTATGATAAGAAAACATTTTTAACCATAATAATTCATATATTTGAGTGGTAATTTTGTGCATAACACACTGAGATGATTCCAAGGACTTAAATAATAAGATATCTGATAAGGAATTTACTAATTTGGGGCTCAATTAGACTGATAAGTAAAAACTCCCTTTTCACTCAATTGACCAGTAATATATAATCACAAACAACTTATTAGGAAGAAAGAAATTCTCTTTAGAAAGATTATTTTTTATCTCATTAGGAAACCCTAAGTCACTCAGTTTCTATTTGTTAAACAAAAACACTTAAAAAAAAACTAAGAAAAAGTCTGACTCTTTATTTCAAGTCAAAATAAAAATAAGATGGTATTTTTAATTACTTTTAATCAATATTTTCCAACAATGTGTGTTGTTAAACCAGATAGGTAATTTGCTGGAACACCATTTCTTGAATGTTTACTATATGCTAGAGCTACTACTTCTACCAGTGTAACAGAACTTAGCCAGAGTTTCAACAGCAGATGTTCAACTTCTAAAGATCAAGAAAGCCCATATCTCCAAAGTTCTCTGATCCAAGATGTTGAGTGTGCCTAGCAAAAAAAAAAAAAAGTGGAAGAAGAGAAAGTGATTCTCACTTCATTCACTATCTCTATCTTATAGCTCTAAAAACTTTAGAATTAAGGTCCATACCTGAGAGAACATATCTACATAAAAAACAAGCCTCAATAAAGAAGGTAAGTATAGAATTGATAACTTCTGGCAACAAAAGCATCACCAAGTAGTAGAATTTTCCCCAGTAAAACCACAGAGCTCTATAGATAGGCCCTTGGAGATCAACTTCATTGACTTCGAAACTCTGGAGGTGAAGAGAACAGAAGCTAGGGAAGAGGGAATCCAAACTCATGAGCAGCTTTGTTTTCAACTACACATGTCTTGGAGACTCTGATGTATCTTTGCTGGAGTAGCTAAGAACATAAGTTTTTGAAAAATGCCCAAACCTCTTTCCACTACAGTCAAATTTCTTTGGGTCCCAGATGATTAAAAATGGGTTCCTGTTTAGCCTATTATTATTTAGAAATCCAATGAGATTTTACTAGTACAATTTGACAGCCATTATTCCAAACGTTGCATTTAAGCATTGCAAGACTGAATCTGTCCAAGGGACTTAATGTTCCAGACACCCCACTGAAATGAGACAGTAATCTGATTTCATTCCATCAGTCCTACTATGTGTGAGGTACTGTGCTACTGATGCTACTTCCTGTCATACCCAGCAAAATTAAAGTGGAATTTTCCTCTCTGAAGAATGAATAGAAGTAGCAATCGGCCAGAAGCCAACCATACAGACAGAGGAATTACAGAAAGCACTAAGCGGAAGAGCCACCATCCTCTCCAGCTGCCCATGTTGTGGTCAGTAGGAAAGAAACACAGCCACCATGGTGTGCTTTCTTCCTTGATTTGTCTTGCATCCTAAGACTCTTGCTGACCCTCGATTTTTACTAATTCCCTAAGGAAGCAAGTTAGCATGGATCCAATGTCCTTTTAGTTTCTACCTCCTTTTGCTATTTTAAGTCCTGGGGTTAAGATATGCACATTAATACAATGTTTATCTTAGAGAAGAGGCTATCTAAGAAGAAGACACTGGATTCAAAAGGTGATTGTCAAAACTAATATTTCAAAAAAACACTTTTCAGTCCTGGTAGTATTAGGTTTCTGGCTTAGATCTCAAAGTCCTTGTTTTGACCCTTTTTTGTATAAAAGAACTCAACTTTAGGTAGGCAACAAGATCAGAAATATACTCTGAACATTATACCATGTTGGTGATAATATTACTAGCTCAAGATTAATATTTCAAAAAATGACAGTGTAAATGTATCATAGCACTGTCTATATCATTTACTTATGTGTTATCCCTTTGTACGTTGATCCTTTGGGGTCTATACCAATGTTCTGGACAACTTAAAGCACATTACATAGATCTGACTGATTTATAAATCCAAAAGTGTTTAAGTGAATTTGACAAACTCAAGAAGTAAGAAAAATTCTCTTTCCTGACAGCTTAAGAAATGATGGCATTTGACCGCTAAGAAAAAAAGGTTAGAATGCCCACTCCTAAATGTGATTACGATAAGGAACCTCATTGTATAATACTAGAGTTTAAAGGTGGAAAATCTTACCCCTTTTTACAGATGTTCTTGGCCACCAACCTGATTAGCATGGTTCTAGCCATCAACTATCAGAAAAGGATAATAGCCCAGCCAGGCGTGGCTCAGCAGTTGAGCGTTGACCTAGGATCCAGGTGATTGGGGTTCAATTCCCGGTCAGGGCATGCCCGGGCTGTGGGCTCAGTCAATGACTCTCTCATCATTGATGTTTCTATCTCTCTCCCTCTCCTTTCCTCTCTCTGAAATCAATAAAGATATATTTAAAAAGGAAGGAAGGAAGGAAGGAAGGAAGGAAGGAAGGAA